ACTAATCTCCTCCAAAATGGGTGGGAAAGGATGGAGGGGCATCGCAGATCCCAGGGGACTGCAGGCAGAGCACGAACAGAGCAGAGATGGGGCAGCATTTGTAGCACCACTGGTGTCACTGGGAGTCCTGCTGAGGGCCACATTATCGAGTCTAAAACATTTTAGGCTCTCCTTTTATTTTTTTTTTCTGCAGGTGATTGGCAGATGGAAAAGCCTCTCACTCCCCCAAACTGCAGGCTCGCTCTTTCCTTTTTAAAATACATTTAATTTTTTTTTTTTTGTATGCAATTTCTCCTGCACAACTGCGGGAAGACGCTTTTGCAACACTCAGCAAAGGGTCTTGAGCCAAGGGCAAGGAGCTGCCCATCCAGCTCCCTGCCACTTGCACTCAGGAGATGCTCCTTTGGCAGCAAACCCTGGTGCAAGCAAACACTGCATGTGCAGCATCACCCCCTGCACTGGTTCCCCCCTCCACGGCCTGGATGCTCCAGCAGATAACAGCAGCTGTTCAGGGGCAAGCGTGTGGCCATATGTTGCTGCTAACAAGCATTTACTGGAGCTGGTTCCTTTCTGTGATTCCCATGTGTCTGATTAACTCACAGCTCCTCCAAGCAATTTTCAGATTTTTCACTCTCCCCCTTGCAAATCTCCCTCTATTTTTTTGTTTGGTTTGGTTTGGTTTTTTGTTTTGTTGCTGTTTTGGCTTTATAAGCAAACCAGAATATGAGCATAAAATGGGGTCAAAAGGTGCAAGATTTGGAAAAAAAAAGTATATTTAAATAGCTAAAAAGTCATTAATCAAATTTTGTAATTTTTTTATGCTCAGAAACACACTATTTCTGGGATGACCCTGCCATGGTCATGCAGACTCCAAGCACAGATGAGATGCTCAATGACCAACCACCTGCCCTGGGAGGGGGATTGACATTTCCATCTTCTCAAGACACGTTTTTGGATTCTGCCTGCAGATCTGGACCCCTGCCTGAGCATCTGATGCTGTAGGGTCCTTCTCAGGAGTGTGAAGGAAGGAAAATAACCTGTGGCTGTAAGAACTTGAGATGTTTTTTACTGGGATTGCAGCAGGGTGTACAACCCATAGGCCTGAATCCCTGGTCCCCAGGCTTGGGAGGATGGGCTTGGATCCTTATTTACCACTGCGTTCCCAGTTAAAACAGACTGGGGAGAAATCAAGCTGACTGACCTGGGTCCCTGGGCTGTGCCAGCATCCCGTCCTCTTGGGAAATGTTTTTCCAGAGGCTGCCCCATCAGCTGAGCAGAGAGGAGGGCGCTGTGGTGATGGGAACATCCCTTATCTCATGGAGCTATGGGAAAGGAAAGCACCCTGGTAGGTAGCAGAGACAGGTGCTGTCAAAGGTGATTCATCCCACCCTTGGGAGGTCCAGCGTGGGTGGAGTGAATCACCCTCCCTCAGTACCTGCCTCCCTCCAGAGTCAGGACAGCTCCAGAGGAAGGCTGGAGATCACGTTGCAGGTTAGGACATCCAAAACTAATAAGTGTCAACAGGTAGGTGTCTCAATATGCACAGGGTACTTGTTACTTCACTTCCAAATGGGTGAGTGATGTGGGATTAGTCCCACCATTCCTACCTGGCACTTATTTTCCAGCTTTTGCACCTCCTTCAGAAAATAGCAAGGAAATTCTGCAACTCCTGAGTGGCCACATGAATTATAGGGCTCATGTTTGCATCAGCTGTGCTCACAGAATCACAGAATCATTAAAGGATTTGGGTTGGAGGGGACCTTGAAAGGTCATCTAGTTCAATTCCCTGACATGGGCAGGGACACCTTCCACTAAAACAGGTTGCTCCAAGCCCCATCCAACCTTGTTCTCAATATTTCCAGTGATGGGGCAGTCACCAGCTCTCTGGGCAACTTGTTCCAGTGTTCTGCCACCCTCATTGTAAAAAATTTCTATCTGGTTTGAATCTCCCCTCTTTCAGTTTAAAACCATTTCCCCTTGTTCTATTGCAACAGTCCTGCTAAAAAAGTTTGTCCCAATCTTTCTTCTAAACCCCCTTTAGGCACTGGAAGGGGCTCT